AGGAGAGGAAGGGAAGCGGGGGGGGGGAGGGGGGGAGGTGTGTACGACAGAGGTCTGTAAAATCATGACTGGTGTAGGAAAAGCAAATAAGGAAAAGTTATTTACTTATTCCCATAACATAAGGACTATGGGTCACCCTATGAAATGAAGAGGCAGCAGGTTTAGAACAAACGCAAGGAAATATTTCCTCGCACAATGCACAGTCAACCTATAGAACTCCTTGCCAGAGGATGGATGCTAGGTAGGATCACGTGATGATTGCCTGTTCTGTTGATTCCCTCTGGGGCACCCGGCACAGGCCACTCTGGGAACACACAGCACTGGGCTAGATGGACCTTTGTTCTGACCCAGTTGTGCCGTTCTGATGTTAGATTCAGACAATGGCTGCCCCCTCAGAGATGCAAAGAACACCGGAACTGGACCGATGGCATTTTAAATACCTTTCCAGCAGCAGATGTTTCTCTTGTGATTGTAACGGAGATTGTAGGGAACAGGACACAAGTGAGGTTTCTAGGTAGCTGACACAAAATCATGGCTCCACTGAAGTCAGAGAATTTTGGGGTGACTTGGTGAGGCTAGGATTTCACAGTTGGGTCTGAGACTTCTCAGGACTCATGCATGATATCTACCGTTTTGCAGTAATTAAGCTTCCCATTCACCCTCAGAGATGTGTTAGTTTAATTATTCTCAACGGACACCTCTCTGGAGGCAGAGATGGACAAAGATCCTTTTGTTGCGAAAGGTGGGATTAGAAAGTGGGAGTCACAGTCGGTGTTCCCTCTAAGGGGCATGGCAGCCCAGCTTCACAGGTGATTGATCAGCCCTGCCCGGAGCCCTGAGCCTCTGACTGGGCAGGGCTGGTTAATCACCTGTGAAGCTGTGCTGCCGGGCAGCTTAGAGGGAACACTGCTCCCAGGGAACTTGCCTTGCCGTGCAGGGTGAGGTGGCACTGTGATGGTTGGAGCACAGCCTAGGGGATCGGACTCTTGGGTTCTAATCCAGGCTGTGCACTGGCTTGCTGTGTGCGCTTGGGCAGTAAGTTACATGCTCTGAAGTTAAGTGACCGTTATGTTGGGGTCCATCGGTTTGGCCTGCTTTGGGTGGGTGCCAGGCAGGCTGCCAGAGATGTTGAGCGTCTGCAGCTTCCTTTGCAGCTTGAAATCGCTGAACATCAAGCTCCCGTGTGTCCCACTTGGGTCCCTATAATTGTGGATAACATAAGAACATAAGAACGGCCGTACTGGGTCAGACCAAAGGTCCATCTAGCCCAGTATCCTGTCTGCCGACAGTGGCCAGCACCAGGTGCCCCCGAGAGGGTGGACCAAAGACAATGATCAAGCGATTTGTCTCCTGCCATCCTTCTCCAGCCTCTGACAAACAGAGGCCAAGGACACCATTTTATCCCCTGGCTAATAGCCTTTTATGGACCTAACCTCCAGGAAATTATCTAGCTTCTCTTTAAACTTTGTTATAGTCCTAGCCTTCACAACCTCCTCTGGCAAGGAGTTCCACAGGTTGACTACACGCTGTGTGAAGAAGAACTTTCTTTTATGAGTTTTAAACCTGCTCCCCATTAATTTCATTTGGTGTCCTCTAGTTCTTCTGTTGCCTAATAAATAACTAATAAATAACTTTTCTTTATCCACCCTCTCCACACCACTCATGATTTTATAGACCTCTATCATATCCCCCCTCAGTCTCCTCTTTTCTAAACTGAAAAGTCCCAGTCGTTTTAACCTCTCCTCATATGGGACCCGTTCCAAACCCCTAATCATTTTAGTTGCCCTTTTCTGAACCCTTTCCAAGGCCAAAATATCTTTTTTGAGGTGAATACTTTTGTACGTTTTAGCCTCAAAGTTCTGTATTTCAGATACTTGCATCTGAAGTAAGTACAATAACAGTCAATCCTGTCCGCTCAGTGTGAACATGAATGAAATAATGCATCTGACTCTGGCTGTTAATTCATTTCCCCGCCAAAGGGGCAGAAGAGTTGCACAGACATGACTGAGGGGCAGATCTGCCCTGTGTGCGCAAAGCTGTTGAACAAAAGAGCCACGACTGTAATGATATGACTTGTGTTTGTCCTTGAACTCCAGAAGATTGATCTGTGGATGATTTGGGATCCGGAGGAAGTTCTGTTGTCTTAAGGAGAGTTCTGGCATTCACCTTTAGTAGGAGGCCTGCTTTTTAATAAAACATGGCTTCCTAAATCTTGTTTCTTGCAAGATGTCATTTCCATTAAATGCAAAGGATTTATATCCAGCAGCTAGCTCTAAAACATAGACACAGGCAATGAATCTGAGTGTGATCTAAATAGCTCAGTAAAAAACAAGTTGCTGTAGGTAGGACTCCTAGGCACCAGCCCTCCACCAGGACGCTTTGGTCCTGGAACACCCTAGTCCTCCCAGACCATGGGTGGTGTCAGATAAGAGCGTATCTGCTTACAGAGGTTCAGCCTGTACTTAGACTTCTGGAAGTGTATTGGTTTGACTAAAAACTAAAGTTCATTAAAATTAACAACATGCCATTAAATGGTTCAAAATGGGCAAGTCTCAAAATGTAATTGTAAATGGAGAATTGTCATCACGTGTGTGCTTTTCCAGTGGGGTTGCCTGAGGATCTGTTCTTGTCCCTACATTATTTTAAACTTTTTAAGAGCATAAAATCATCACTGACAAAGTGTTGCAGATGAACAAAAATTGCATTAAGAGCACAGGTCCCTGCTACCAGATGAACTGGTCACTTAGTAAACGGGTTACAAGCAGTAAATGTATACATGTTTAGAAACAAAGAACGTTGTAGGCTGGATTTAGAGGATGGGGGACTCTACCTTGGAAAGAAGTGACTCTGGAAAAGATTTGGAGATTGTCAAGGATAATTAGCTGAACATGACTTCCACTCTGACTCCTGTGCGATCCTGGGATGCACAGGTAGGGGAATCTTGAGCAAGTAAGAGATTGTTTAACCTCTGTATTTAGTACTGGTGTGACTGCGGCTGGAATCCTGGGTCCAGTTCTGTTGTTAAATGGGAAGAGGGTTCAGAGAAGAGCCATGAACCTGATTAAAGTTAGAAAACCCGCCTTAGAGGGATAGACTCCAGGAGCCCAATCTATTTCGTTTATCGAAGAGATGGTTAAGGGGAGATTGAGCACAGTTTACTGGTATGTACCCGGGGAACACACATTCAATAATGGGCTCATCAGTCTAGCAGAGAAAGGTCTAACAGAGTCCAATGGCTGGAAGTTCAGGATGTTCCAGTGGTTAATTTGTCTAATTTACCAAGCGTTGTGGTAGATTGCCCATCACTGACCGTTTCTAGATCACAATTTGATGCTTTTTCTAAAAGTTCTTCTCTAGCAGTTATGTGGGGTAAATTGTCTGGCCTGGATGGTCACTGTTTCCTTCTGGCCTTGAAGTATATGAATATGGAGCTGTTCCTACATTTTTCTGATATTGAGCGGATAAGTAGTTGGTCAGTCTAAACTGAATACCCTATGCTGAGATCTTCCCTCTTTGGAGACTAACTCATTGTAGAGATGAAGATGCCAACAGCCCAGCTGGTAGCACTTGGTAATCTGTACATTTTGGCCATCTTAATTGATTCCTGGCAGTGTGCACCACCTAGTTATCAGGCCGAGCTGGAACTGCAGCATTAGAAA